AGTTATGGTTATTCCATACGTAGGTGGCAGGCATCTTTTGCACATCTCCGGAGCTCTGGCTGGGAATCCCCTCATTAAGAGAGCCCTTGGGCTCAGTACTTCTCTGTAGGCAAATGTCAGCTGCAGCTACTGTTAAAAAATTCCTTTCAATGGCACAGCCACTTACAGCGATTCTGAGGATCCAGAAAGATAATGGACTTAGAGTGTTACATAAACTCCAAGTTCATATAGGAATGTACGTTACTGTCTTTAAGACAAAATCATTTTTAAATGCTCCTGGGGTAGCAACTTATATAGAAATTGAATCAGTCACTCAGTGAAATGTGAGAAGCTGTCAGACCCACAGTCCTGTTCCATAATTAAAAGTCTGCTTGAATGATTTTGAGTTCGGAATGAAATTAAGTGATTTGGAGTTTGGAACATAGAGAAGCAGGATGTTTCTCCTAGATGCGTACTGAGCAAAAACGTTTTTTTTTAATGCCCTGTTAGATGCTTGTAATTACTTTTACTTCACTCTCTTAGTTAGAAAAATTAGTAAGCAAGACACAGATTTGAGCCTGTTTAGTGATGCTCAAGTCTAAGGGGAAATATTATCTATAAACTTAGAAATGTCTTGCTAATTTTCTCCCCAAGAGAGAATTTGCATAACTCTTGAACTAATTTTAGAGACATGCAGCTTTATGCTCTACAGGTACAAAGACTTGACAACTACTTTGGGGAGACGGGTTTTCTTTAATCAGTCAAATATCTAAAACTCATTTGTAACTATCACAAATCGTGTTCAAAAACTGCCGCTGAAAATGGGACCTGAAGTTAGAGTTGGGGTCTTCTTTATCTTTGCAGACTGGTGACTGGTGCTCGCCATTTCAGTGGCAGCCCTGGAAAGCAGAAATCCTGGCTTTTGTTCAAAGGCCTGAGCCCCAGAGAGGGTTGTGGATTCCTGCTTGTAGGTAGACTGTTGGTCTAAAGGCAAGGGGGAGCGGCGATGAGTGGACAGAGTCAAAATGTCTTGGCCAAAAACACGACGGGAAGATTTCCTTGCTATTAGAAAGAAATTCCTCCAGGCTGGGTGGAAGAGGAAAGAGAGGGAAAGTCGGGGGTCCTAAGAATGCAAAGGACCCTTGCACTGCTTCTTAGCTGCACCGCTAAGAAGAAGGCAAGTTCCAGAGGGATATGGCCCTGAAGTATGTAGGTGGGCAAGAATTCCTGCATCCCAAATATGGCCCTGAAGCTGCCAAGAGCCCTTGGACCTGAGTGGACCTCTTTGCAGCAGGTGACATCTATGAACAGAAGATCAGAGGCACAAGCCCTTGATACCATGTAAGACCCCAGGGCTGTGGCATAATCTTGGGAAACAGGGAGAGGGCCTCAAAAGGGGCTGAGGTTCAATCTCTCATCCAGCAGGATGGGGCCTTAAAATGGGAAACAAATTGATACAGGAAGTAAAGTACATTGAGCTGTATTTCTTACAAGAAGGAGTTCGTGGACGGAGATATAGGATCATTACAAAGGGCCAACTTCTTTTTTGTATAAAGTGCAGAAATGCACTTCAGTTTAGCATGTCCAGGCAATTGTATTGATTCCAGAATAGTAGGGACATGAATGAGTGAAGCAGTCTAAAAAGGAACGATATGGAAAGGATTCTCAGTGCCAAGTCAGATCATTTAAACAGGGTCAGCTGACACAGGACTTAGACATTTATATAGGTTTAGAATTTCTGACAGGTAGCAAAGGGCCTGATGACGCTTGAGGTTTCAGAGGTGGCTTACCCACTAAAAACTCTGACATTTCTATTTTCCCAGAAGACACCATTGAGGTGAAATGGGACGTGTGGCTCTGAGAAACAGTGGGAGGTAAAGCTTTCCCTATGAAATTTCTCTTTGACTAGCCAGAGAGCAGCAGATAATTCCACAAGCACAGGGGGGTTATCTTCCCTCCCAGTGCAGATGTCTGGCGGGAGCTAGCAGATGGAAGCACCCAGAAGGTAGACCTGACTCCCTTAGCCAATGTCTGTGCTGGAAAAAGCACCAGGAAGAGCCAGCCGGGCTTGCAAGTATGAACGGTGTTATTGAAAGCAGAGTGTCGCATTTGTGGTATAGGAATGGCCTGGCAGTACTTTGGGGGAAATGGACTCAAGATGTGAAGACGGAGAGGGTAACAGTAGCAGGGAGGTAGGGACAAGCCCAGAAGAGCTGTCAGGGGAGAAATGAAAGGGAAATGACAGGAAAGGGAGAGAGGGAGAGGAAAAAGCACCACTGCTTGGGGATTTCTGATGGGACGGGAAGTGAAAACTATAGAAATAGAAAGAGGAACCTGGGGACCAGAGAGCTCTATTTCCCAGCGCGCTCCCTGACTCCTCTCCCTGCAAAGAAGCAACCATATTAGGGGAAAGGTAGACAGGAAATGTCCCTTTGCCCCCTAGCCCCTGCTTCTGTGGCTGGATAGAATACCAGCTCAGTAATAGGGTACTGCCTAGGCTGGAATGAGGGATGTTCCCAGAGTGCAATGTGGCCTGTTTGCATTCAAAGAAGAATGAAGTTCCCATCCAACTTTAATGCTAACGCTTAAAAAAGAAGAAAAAAAGATTACAAACTGTCACTTTTTATGTGGTGTTCATGAGGGACGGACAAGGGTAGGAAAGTAGGAGGAAAGCAATATCTTCCAAGACGTTATTTTATCAGGTGTTCACTCAATGCTTGCTCCAGGCTAATTGTAAAAATAAATCGTGCACCTCTACCTGTGGCAGGCAGCTTGCAAACTGCAGGTGCGCTTCCGGACGTCACTGTCGAGTTCCCCGTTGTGATTCAAAAGATATTTACTGTGAGCTAAACCAACTTCATGAATCTCCCACCATGTTCTGGGAACTAGACGTAGATTGCACCATGTTGAGACATCTAGAAAAGAGCCAGCGTACAGAACTGTCATTAAAACAATTTAATGTTTAAGGGCACCTGGGTGGCTCGGATGGTTAAGCGTCTGCCTTCGGCTCAGGTCATGATCTCAGGGTCCTGGGATCGAGTCCCGCATCGGGTTCCCTGCTCAGTGCAGAGCCTGCTCTCTGCCCTCTGCCACCCCCTCTGCTTGTGCTCTTCTATTTCTCTGTCAAATAAATAAATAAAATCTTTAAAAAAAAACAATTTAATGTTTAAAATCGTGGTGAAAGATACATAACATCACATCACTTTATCATGTGAGCCATTTTGAAGGGTACAGCCTAGCCTGTGGCAGTGAGTATACTCGCATGGTCATGCAAGCCTCACCACCACCCATTTCCAGAACTTTTTTTTCATCTTCCCAAACCAAGACCCCGTACATTAGGTATTAAACAATAACTCCCATGCCTTCTCCGGTAGCCTGTGGGAACCACACCCTTTGGCTGTGTCCATGAATCAGCTATTCGAGGTGCCACATGAAAGTAGAATCAATAGTGTCCTTTTGTGACTGGCGTATTCAATATAGTACAATATTCATTCTTGTTGTAGCATGTGTCAGAATTTCCTTCCTTTATAAACCTGAATGGACCTACACTTTTTAAGAGGGAGGCATGATACAAAGGATCTCCTTTTCCTAAAAGAAAAAAAAAAATGTTCATATCCATATCACTTTTCAAAACCTGCCACAGCTGTGACTAAGATTTTTTTAGTATTTTTTTTAAAGATTTTATCTATTTATCAGAGAGAGGGAGGGAGAGAGGACACAAGCAGGGGGAGAGGCAGGCTCCCCGCTGAACAAGGAGCCCGACGCAGGGCTCAATCCCAGGACCCTGGGACCATGACCTGAGCCGAAGGCAGATGCTTAACCAACTGAGCCACCCAGGCATCCTGATTTTTTAAAAGTATTTATTGGTTTGCAAAAGGAGACTGGAGCTAGATTTCAAGGTAGGATTGGTTAAGTTCCTCTTAGTTTCTGGAATGGGTTCTTTTTAATCTCACAGACAAGAGACCAAATCCAGACTTTTTTTTTCCCATTAGTAGATGAAACTGAGCACTCAGCTAGTCTTCAGTCCCTCTGAATGTTGCTTCCCGCCTACCTCTCCTTGGCCTTCCATCCCCATAATGGTTTTCTGGGTAGAATATATGGGGGTAAAAATAGGAAGAGGCATGCCTCTGCCCTTTTGATTAGAATTCCTTATACAGGAATACCATACTTGGATCCAAATTTTGGACCCTTTTATGCTAAGTGTTGAGCGGGGTTCCAGTCTTTAGATAAAATGGATTAAAGAAATTAATAACTTTCTCCTTTCAGCTCTAACCTTAATTTCAAAAGTCTATGCCTTTTACTGAAATAAGATTCTCCTTTTCAGCTCTAAAATTGCCATAGGGGTGACTTTTGACCTTATTCCCCCAAAGCAAAACATCTTTTTTCTTTAATTCACTGCAGGGTGTCTGCATAATGGCTGATGGGAGGGCATGATCAGTCTCACCTTGCATTTTGAAATGACCAGCTGGCCTGAAAATGATCTCCAAAACAGCTCAGGCTCTGAAATTTCTGTTGTTAAACACAGTACCTAGGCAGCACCAGGAATGATCAACTCATTGGCCCATCTAGCCATGCCCAGAGTGGGAGCCTAAGAAAATATGAACATTTATTAAAGCCAATGCACAGATATGATTCCCATGAAAATAGTGCAAGAGAACTATCAGAAGGAAATGGTAGATGCTATAGTTTTTAGGCCTTTAAAAAGTTTTATTAAAGATTTTTAGATGTAGGGACGCCTGCGTGGCTCAGTAGTTTAAGCAGCCGACTCTTGATCTCAGCTCAGGTCTTAATCTCAGGGTCATGAGTGCAAGCCCCATGCTGGGCTCTATGCTGGGCATGGAGCCTACTCAAAAAAAAAAAAAAAGATTTTTAGATATATTTTCTTTTAAGATAATCCTTTCATGTTTCTTAGAAGTCATTATGAGTTGCTTTAATCTAAATTTATTTTCCATAAGATTGAAACTAGTGAAGACGTCTATTTTCAGGCAGAACAATCAAGTCTGTTTCTTTTACCTCTTCAGGATCGCCAAGGAAAGGAACGGGATGGCTCCCTGTAGTTTCATTCCACAAGTTAGTTGTCCACTGATGCTTCCATGAATAAAGCTGGAAGGAAGATCTCACTTTGGGAGTAGAGCAAAGAGGACCTGGAAGGAGAAAAAACGGGAATGAAGAAGCCCCAAGAATTCCTATGCCTGGACTCCGTTCTTTGGGACATTTTTGCCTGATGTAAAGAAACATTGTCCCACCCAACCAACTTTACTGATGTGCTACTCCCCAGCCTTAACTGGAATTCCATATAGAAGCAGCCAAGAAGGCACTGACCATCCATTACATCCTATGGCTCTGCATCTGGATTCAAGTCCAAGGTCTGTCTTCTTACAGCATCCGTTTCTCCTTTTTAAGAATTCTTTACTTTTGCAGGAAAACTAAAGATATTACCTGAGTCTTAGAAAAGCAGGCAAGTGAGTATATTTAGGGGCTGTGACATTCGAATTTTCCTAAAAGTGCTATTATTTAGCAATTGGAAATGTGTTAACTCCAGCTTTCTTCCACGGATTTTGTGGGGGTGGTTTTGACCATTTTTAGATGTACAGTTCGGTGGCATTAAGGACACTTTATGGTTATTTTAAAAGTTTTCCACTGCTCTCCAAGCAGAGGCTCCTACTTTTTGTATAAGCCGCATCTTACGGATAGGATAGTACTTAGAAACCCTTCATTTCTCAACTTCACTTTAACAAAATTATGAGTAGTTTATCATGCCTTTTAAAAATAGAGATTCTAAAATGGAGTGGCTCAAAGAGTATGTCTTTTTCTTACTGGTCTATTGCTCTTCTGACCTTTTATCCAACTAAAGATAGCACTCGGGTTGATCTTAAACTTGTTCTCCCTCAAGCTAAGTAATTTCAATTTGTCTATTAATAGGTATCATTGCCCACACTTTAGTCATGGTGGTTCTCATAGTGTTTCTTCTCTGAACCCTATCCAAGGTTATTTATATCACTTAAGTTTTGAAATCTAGAAGTAATATCTATAAACTCAACTTAAAATAAAACCAAACAAAACTCACTGAGGGTTTACCAGAATAGGTTTCTGGATTGGGGTCACTAGTGCGAGAAGGAGTTACTGTTCTAAAAGGGCTGTTGAGTTTCACCCTTTCTCTTCCTGTTATTGCTCATTCTCAGCCCCTCTGTCCCTCTGCCACCTCAGATCCAGTCTTACCTGAAAACTCCATCCTGACTGAAAAAAACCCTTCTTTCCTTAATTCCTCACGGTTGAAAGAGTATGGCAGTAAGGGTACAAAAAATGGGAGTGTTAAACTACATTTTCCAGAGTGACAGGATTGAAACTATCCTGAGCTGTTTTCACGTCTCATGTCAGGTGATCGATTTGCTTTTTTGTTCAGAAAATGTTGGCCTTGTTGAACACTGCATCTGAAACTAATGATGTACTATATGTTGGTTAATTGAATTCAAATTAAAAAAAAAAAAACAACACGAAAGTATTGGCCAGACTATGACTGACATCTTAATGGAGGAAAAGTCACCCAAGCAAGAGCAAGGTTGGTGTTAAGATCATCTTGGTGTTTACTGGTGCTTATGCCCCTTCCCAGCATAGTGCCATGAATGTGGGTCTTTAGGGGAGAGTTGTTGGCTGAATAAATGAATGAAGGCTAGGTAGGTTTGAGAGAAGGTGACATTCTAGCCCCTAGTAAGCCAAGTAACCCAGAAGTGGAAGCAGGGGCAGGTAGGGTAAGTCAGAGGGAAAGTAACGTTTGATCTAAGGTGAGGATGTGGGCCAAGTGAAGAAAATGAAAGCCTGAGTGAGTTTGAATCTGACCATGTCATCCAGGCTGTGACAACCCCAAGTGTTTTACAAATGGCTTGGAAAGAAGGTATGTCATCATAATCCTGGAGAGAAATCAATGAAGTAATTAATTAATTAAAAGGAAGGTGAGAGAAAGCAAGCAAGCTAGCTCTTTTCCCTGTTCTCACCTGCATTTTTGCATGCTTGTCACCCCTCATGGGCATGATCCTGATTGTTCAGTGTCTTCCTAATACACTATACATGGGTATAGCCATACCCAGAAGAAGGCCGTGTCCTTAAAAGTACACTTTGTCCTAAAATTACTCCTTTTTAAAATGCACTTTATGTAAAGTTTCCAGTTTCTCAGAGTTGGCAGACCTTCAGATTATCCTGTCATATGCATATTGAAGCCATGGTCACCAAGTACTTAGGAGGCAATACATGCTTCAAGTTACTTGGTTAACATGCTGTACTCCAAGTCCAAGTGGCCGATAGGCTTCCTCCCCCAAGGGAACATTTGCGTTTCAAAAGAGGGTCTCATTAACTAAGTGAAACTAACTGATGGAATGATTTCGTACCTTTCTGTGCCAATTCTGGGCAACCTCCTTCTCTCCCCATCATCAGGCTGGAAATAGAGGAACTGGCAACTTGGTCTCCTAGTTATGTTCCTGTTGTCAGCCACGGGAAGCCGAGGCATCTTCTGTGGGGGGAAAAGTCATAATAAAACCATGTTTAGAAAGTTGACTAGAGAAGTGATGTTTATTGTAGATTTGTATGAGGGCTCCAGGAGGTGATCTCTGCTGTGGCTGTTCCTGGTGCTCATAGCCATTTACACCAAGTTAAGTGGAGAAACAAAGGTAGACTCTAAGCTCAGTACTCCTGAGGAGGGCCACCTGGTTTGGAAACATGTACCGAGTACATAAGATGCATCAGGTACTAGGGACATAAAGACCGGTAAGATTGAGAAAAGGGTGCTCAAGTCTACTTGAGGGAAACATCGACCAGGGGGTGACCAACTCTACCTGGGGGAATATAGATGAGAAGTTCAGTGACTCTACCTGAGGGAGCTGGAAGAAGGCTTCATCAAGGAAGAGAAACAGCCTCACAGCATTTATCATCCTGTGTGATTATAAAATCTACCATTTATCCATCTGGCTTCACCACTCTGCTACTCCTTGAGGGCAGGGCTGGCCTGTTACAAATATAAGGGTAATTTCACGCACTACTTGGCATAGCAGGATCATTGCTATAATTACTTTTGAAAGAATAAATTGATCAATGTAGAAGAAATGGAGAAATGCAAAAGATAGAAAAGGGTTGGGTATTACATGTGGAGAGAGAAGAGCAGAGCAAAAACGTGGGATTGGGAAATTCAGTGGGATTTTCAGGAAACACCAACCGTTCATTTCTGGAGCTTGGGGTGATTTGGGGAGAGGAATTGAAGAAGGAATGCCAGAAGTGCAGCCAAGAATCAGAGTGTGGAGGGCCTTGTAGGATTTGGACTTTATTCTGTAGGCAATAGGAACCCACTCAACATTTTCCAGCAGGGAAATAATTAGATCAAATCTGTTGTTTTAGAGGAATCACCGGCAAGCAACATCAGGATGAACTGGTGGAAAGGGAAGTTAGATGTAGCAACCATCAGCCCTCCTGTCAGTGGGGAGGGTAGCGACAGCCATTGAAGAGAACATTCCAAGTAGCACTGTTAACTGTGGAGAGAGATGAAAGAGGTGAATTCCAACATCAAACTTCTAGTTTGGTGTGAGCATTGTGCAAGAAACCAAGACAGGTAATATCAGACAAGAAGCAGGTAGGAGGAAAGAGAGATTACTAACCCCACTTGGAATATTTGGAGTCTAAGGAGCCAACACATTTCCAGGGAGAGTTACTGTGTATGCAGTCAGTAATATGAAACCTGGAAGAGAAGCGGGGGCTAGAGATGGAGTTTGGGGTGTGGTCACTGGAGCCATTTGATGGGATGAGAAACCCAGAGCGATGCACGGAGAGAGAAGAGAAACAATGAAGCCCAGGGGGAATTGAGATATTCTTCCCCCCTTTTTAAAGTTCAGTGCCTTTCTCCCTGTTATAAACATATCCGAAAACCAACAACAGGCCCAAGTCAATGGAAATGACACTGGATTTTTTTTTTTTTTTTTTTTAGAAGCTCTCTAATTTCTGGCACTGGAAGAGGTGAGCTGGCCTTTTTAGAGGCAGGACTACTTCCCTGGGAGTTGACTGCTGTGTAGTTTTAGGTAATGCAAGCACTTTCGTGGAGTCAGCTCATTCAGGAGTTGACCGACAGCCCTTGAGATGTCTGCACACGAAAGCCGGGTGTAGGAGCCAGCCCAGCACGGAGGGGAAAGCTTGAGTCAGAGTGGCTGAACAATGGAGCCTTCAAAATGCCTCTTATTGTTAACTGGCTTGAGATGTCTGCAGGTTCTGTGATGGTGGGCTGTCTAAGCAACTTCTGGTAGTGACCAAAGGAGGCGACCACAGGCAACACAGGCCTGGAACATGACAGTGATAAAATCTGTGGTAATTCAGGCCACGTAGCTATTTTTGCCCGAGTTCTTGGTGAAGGAGATGAGTAAGAGAATTAGAAGTTGGAGATTATATAGAGAACAGATGGGGGGTGCCAGAGGCAGGGGGTGGGGAGTGGGTGAGATGGGTGAAGGGGCTGGAAAGGTACAAACTTGCAGTTATAAGAGGACTTAGTCGTGGAGATATAACGTACCACGTGGTGAGTATAGTTAACATGCTGCATTATATATTTGAAAGTTGCTGAGAAAGTAGATCTTTTTTTTTTTTAAGATTTATTTATTTATTTGAGAGAGCGAGAATGAGAGAGAGAGAGAGTACATGAGGGGGGGAGGGTTAGAGGGAGAAGCAGGCTCCCCGCTGAGCAGGGAGCCCGATGCGGGGCTCAATCCAGGGACTCCAAGATCATGACCCGAGCCGAAGGCAGTCGCTCAACCAACTGAGCCACCCAGGTGCCCGAGAAAGTAGATCTTAAGAGTTCTCATCATGAGAAAAAAAAATCTATGACTAAGTGTGATGATGCATATTAACTACACTTACTGTGGTGATCATTTCACAATATCTACCCAAGTCATTATGTCATCCACCTGAAACTAAAATGTCATATGTCGATGATATCTCAATAAAACTGGAAGTAAAGGGGCACCTGGCTGGCTCAGTGGGTAGAGCATGTGGCTCTTGATCTCAGGGTCATGGGTTCGACCCCCCCGTTGGCTGTAGTGATCACTTAAGGAAATTTTTTAAAAACTGGAAAAAAAGAAGCTGAAGAATGTAAGAACTTAAGGAAAAGTAGTTACTGGGGGATTAAACTCAACAGTGATCCCGTGAATAATATCATTTGATTAAAATAAGTCATGATGGGGCACCTGGGTGGCTCAGTGGGTTAAGCGTCTGCCTTCGGCTCAGGTCATGATCCCGGGGTCCTGGGATCGAGCCCCGCATCGGGGTCCCTGCTCAGCGGGGAGCCTACTTCTTCCTCCCACTCTGCCTGCCGTCCCCACTGCTTGTGCTCTCTCTCTCAACT